CCTGTGAACCATTTCCTTTTAATTCAGGATTAATTTTTCTGTCAATTTTTTGATAATTTACATGAACAAAAACTGACATTTGCTATAAGCGAAGTGAAATTAAGCCTTGTCTTTGAGTCATTTGATTGAAAGTTCCTCGTTGTTGAGAAGAAAAATATTTCCCGCAAATACCGCGCGCGTAAACATTGAAATAACTTGAGCAGGATAAGTCGGTTTTATTTGTGTATTCTTGAGAGTCTTGTGTACAGTATTTGAGGAGTATTTTGGTCCGTGCCAGATTTACGTGTAAAAGAACTGATTTGTTTCTTACTGCGAGATAAACTAGAATCATCCTAGTGGTATCAGTAATGCTCATCAGAATTGTGACGAATTTAGGAATACGATTTGGAGACAATTTGGCTTCGCGTTGTTCTCGTGTTTTGCTATGAACTCTCCACTCGTAATCCTAAAGTGGCCATTTTTCTTTCTTAGTTTTCCAAGGACTCACGAAGATTTGCTCGTCAACACTTTTAAAAAACTTCATTCCCAAAAAATTAGGAAAGCAAATAAATTTTCTCAAGTCAACGATGAGAAATGAAATAGTGAAAACAAAACAACAATTGCTAAAGTAGTTGCATAAGAATTGAATGATTGATAAAATGCTATTTAACTTAAAAATGGACAGAACAACCAATTCTTAAATATCAGTAGTACACTGAACACTTTTTGATGGTAATTAATTGAAAATTTTTTACGTTTTTTTACTTTCTTGAAATTCGAGATGCATTTCTTGGTATGTTATTTTCGAAAACATTTGTTCCTACGAGATAACCTAGAGGTGAACAAACTTAGAATCATTTAAAATATTTTGAAAGATTTTGTACTTCTTGATAAAGTCTTCCAAACTATATATATGATGAAATAGACCATTTTAATGTATTTTTTGTTTCGGCCCTCAGGCCGAAACAGTCACTACATTCGGTTTGCCGGCCCATAATAGTCTCCGTGCGTGTCATTTAGCTGTCAGAGGTTTGGACCTAATCCAATCATATGCCGTTTCCATCATAAGCAATGGGAAAATGTAAAACATTTCACCATGCGGAGTATTTGGGAGAGTTGCGTGAATCTTCTCTGAGGTAGTTGTGTAGACTAAAGTTATGCCCTTTCGCATGACGCCATTTTTTGGAAAAAAAATATATTATTGATTAACCCTACGGCAATGTGTATTTTATTCCTAAGTCAGTATCTAGGTCCAAGTCGCCAAGTAGGTAAGTTATTGAAAAGTGACGGCGCACTGGTCAAAGACAAGCCTTGTATCTTTTCGTTGGAATTGAGACTTTCGCATTTTCTTCAAGCTACGATATAAGAGCTAAATACATTTACCATAAATGTCAAAGAGCAGAATGAAGGTTTAAAAAGTATCCTACATTCAACATAGCGCGTACAGTAATGCTCATGTGCCAAAATATTTTGCACTTAATTTGTACTCTGCTCTCTGCGATACTCGATCATTGTTTATATCTATTGTCGGATCTCTCATTTGTTCGGCGAGACGTTATATGTATGTACGTTGTCCTGATTTCCCCCAAAACACTACGATGTTTCAAAGCAACAACCACTAAAATCTTCAAAAAACTTAATTACGATGTGTTTCGTCCAAGAGAATTTTATAACAAATGTTTCCATCGAAATTTGCGTAAGACTTTGTAACGTGAAAGTGTTCCGCGAGATCGCTCTTGTCTGCCATTTTCAAAATACACGAGACCCAATCATTTACCACAGCAAAACCAAAATTCTTTATTCAGCAATGCCACGCAACGCCACACAATAAATAGATAACGGGCCGAAACATCATCGCTTTCGAAGCGATATAGGCTTGTTAAATCGGCTGTTCTAATTTATTTTCTGTCTGCTAATTGTTATGCTTGTCTCATACGACTTCCAAAGTAAACAACCAGTTCGTCTGGGGCACCCAACTCAAAATTTTCCTTCTCTTTCCTATGAAAATTTGTTCTCTTGATCTCTATTTTTCAGCGTGTTAGAAAAGAATCTCGGCTCAAGAAGGGAAATTTTACTTTCTAAGCATGCAAACGCAGTACCTTAAGCTTTTGCGTACTTATTGATAATTTTTACTCTACAGCGACAAGCGAAAAAAAAAAGTGCGAAATTTTTGTTTGAAATTAAATGCCGTAACTAAATGATTAGATTTTCTTGAAAGTTTAAAAGTCAACTTCGTTAATTTTAAGATACTGTTTAGGGAGAGTTAATTATTTTTAGGCGGAATTTATTGTACAAGAAAAACTCATTTGTTTTTCTACCGTTTTCCTAGTGTAATCTTACGAAAGAGGCAATGAAATACCCCTACTTAGATTTCATATTCAATCTGAATACTATTTTCGAAGAAAAAAGAAAACTATTTTACAACGGAGTTCTCTTCTTTTTCGTAGTTGCGGTCATATTATCTTAATTGTGATTTTATTGGTAATTTTATTCCGAAGTTTTTAGTTCAAGATTTCGAATAACAAAAATGATAGTATCTGCTATATTTACTGTTCAATAACGTCAGTAATGACAAGACCCTGATTTGACACACCTGTAATCTTAGATAATTCAATTTCTGTCACGCAACAAAAGGTTATTCATTGTGCTGGACGGAAATCAAGGCACGATGAACTGAGGTCTAGTGAGGCATATGTTACCAACTCTTCAAATGCCACGTTGCTTTCAAAGCACAACCGAGGGTTTTTTACGACGTTTATATGCCAGAACGTACGATAATAAATCTGTATGAGTTCCTAATTTATTTTTCGCAGGTTTTATCTAGATGAATCTTCAATTAACGACAATTTTGTTGAACTAAAATTGACATGGCTAAGCAAACGAACTTGTTTACCAAGATGTTCTGTCGACTTTTGTTGGCATGTTGAACATTTCTTTTACCTAAGTCATGTTTCCGCTTGTTGTTGATCTAGTTTGGTTACATACGCACGTCATTTTGCAGGGGAATCAATGTTCAAACGTGCTCGTATCGAGGCTTGATTAGCCTGCTAATTTGTACAAAATCATTAATTAAGATTAAATATTTTGAGACGTGATAATCCGTACAATGAAAAACGCTAACAATTTTTGACAAGGCCGATGTTATCGAATTAGTACTCTGATTCCTGAATATTCTCCTTGTGTGTGTGTGTGTTTTTTTGTTTTTCTGTTGGTTTTTTTTTTTTTTCGTTTTTGTTTTTTTTGTTTTTTGTTTGATTTTTTCTTTCTTTCTATCTTTCTTTTTTCTGATTAAGAGTTATTTCAATAGCTTTGGTTTAAGAGATCGTCAAAAACACTTTGTGGCAAACTTTGAAGAGCGTAAATATTCTAGAGGAAACCTAACTATGCGTGAAATCTTTTCCTTCCTTGTGATTACAGATACCGCACTCGAACTTTCTGCCATCGAGGTGCGAATGATTTTTATCCTTGGTAGGGTTTATTTCTATAAGCCACGATATTCGTATCTCGGAAATATCTTGTCATGAAAAATTCCTGGGTAATCCACGATAACTACGATCTGTCAAACTTGATATCCATGACGTTGTTTCGTAACGAATATAACAGATTGTTTTTATGCTTCATTTCACTCCCTCATTCTTCCCCTTTCTTTCCCACCAAAAACTTTTTTTGAAATTCCCCTTGTCTAGCTCATCCAAATGGAATTATTCAGTCACGACTGATTTTTTTACAAAGAATCTTTTGCATATTTAAAGAATGCTGAATTTTCTTCAAAACCTCGTAGATGAAAGCCGAGATTTCCTGTGTATCTTGAGAGGCTTGAAAAATTTTGGTCAAATGTTGTTTTCGCGTGGAATATCCCCGCAGAGTCATACCCTAACCGCCATGCTTTGCCGAAGGAAATTGCGTTCTCTTATAAGCACTATCCTAAAACGATAAGCCGGTAGCACTTTAGTGGCTTCCAAGGCTTCGAAATGAGATAGGCACTATAGTGGCTTCCAGAGCTTAAAATCCAGGGTTTCCAGAATTTTATAGTATTTCCAGTTTTAGTGACACTGAGTAGCTAACACTGAGAAGATTTTATAACTTTACCGATAACATTGTCTTATCTAAGTCAAATAAAACCTGGCTCTTTTTTGCTATTAGCGTATAGCGAGGGTAGATGGTGAATGAGTTGAATCGTGGGTGTTGAAGTTGTGTTTAGAAGGAAATATCAAGCGGATTACGCTAGTGAAACATTTGTCAAAGGCGTGAATCAGTTGCTAAACATTGCAAAAAATACCTCTGTGGCACTGAAAGGGTTTCTATTCCAGATAAAAAGCGATGTCAAAGTGTTTCATTGTTCCGTGTGTATGTGAAACGTCTGTCGGGCACTGAAATGGCTTTCCTTCCAGACAAAAATTAAGAGAACTGAATATTTCGTGTGTATGCCGGGAAAATGTCTGTGGCACTGAAATGGCTTCAACTATACGAAAAGCACCACAACCACTACAGTGCTTTAATATTTCGCGCCTATATATGAAACAGCTATGACACTCAAATGGCATCCATTCCAGACAAAAATTGAAAACCATTACAGTGCTTGAATGTAAAATATTAAACGTCAATGACACTCAAAGGATTTCCATTCCAGTGAAAAACCGAAAACCATTACAGTGCTTAAATGTAAAAGCACTCCAGACTTACTGCTTTACGGCCGTCTCCTGCAGTCTCGAACACCTGGCGTGTTTATTTTAGTTAGAGAGGAACGATCCGTCGAACCAGAAAAGCGTCTATCTAAGCCCCTACCAAATCAGTATTAAACTGAAAAGACCGATTGGTCGTAACAGATAAGCGTGTTGCTCTAAGCTAATCGCATTAGGAAGGCCCTCCTTAACCCACACCATAACAGCATTAGAAAGCCGGCGAAGTAACGGCTGGTCGTAAAAAGCAGGTTATCTTGTCATTAACTGTTTGTATTAGATACATATTTCTGACGTGTACCTCTTTTACTTATCGAATTTTCTTTCTTTTCGATCCCGTAGAATGCAAATCAGCTCTCGGTATGAGTCGACAGAATAACAAAGGCAAATACATTGCCGACAGCCAGATAACAGCTTCTTCGGAATTATTACAGTTTTTTGGACCATCACAAGGCAGGCTTGACCTTAGGTAAGCACTGCCTTTAAACTTAATGATCTTGCTTGCTTGCTTGCTTGCTTGCTTGCTTGCTTGCTTGCTTGCTTGCTTGCTTGCTTGCTTGCTTGCTTGCTTGCTTGCTTGCTTGCTTGCTTGCTTNTTGCTTGCTTGCTTGCTTGCTTGCTTGCTTGCTTGCTTGCTTGCTTGCTTGCTTGCTCAGTGCTTCGTTTCTTCGTTGTTTCTCTCCTTCTAGTTTCGTTAAGCGCTCCTTCTGTTTGTTTGTTTATTTAAAATATATACATGTTTTTGCATTCAGTCCATCAGTGTCTGGAGTTGGTGGTGGATGGTGTGCAGGTGACAAGGATCCAGACCCATACATACAAGTAGACTTACTAAGAATACACACGATAACCAAACTAGCCACCCAGGGAATAGAAACATACACAAGCTGGGTGACTCAGTTCTCAGTTCAGTACAGCATAGACGGTGTAAGGTGGTACGACTATAAAGAAAGCGGCAAAGTAAGGGTAAGTTATTGGATAAGATTGGTTATCGTATGATGGGGAACTTACAGCACTTATACACGGTACGATATGCTTAACATCGAGATGGCTTTCTATTGTTTTCCTATGAAACAAGCATCCATAACACTAAAGGCGCGATTGCACGGAGCAATTTTCTTTACAACTTGTCTCGCAACTAAGTTGCATATTGTACTGCAGCGTGTAGCCTACAGCGTAATTTGAAAAATTGTCGCGATACAATTTGCAGAAATCGTTGCCAAAAATAGAATTCGTTTCTTCTTTTGTTTAATTTGTTTAATGTTTTGTCTATTAGGTTTTTACCGGAAATAGAAATACAGCTTTACATAAAATAGCCACCTTTACCACACCAATCACTGCTCGTATCATCAGAATCAAACCTTTGAGGGCTAACAATGATTACAAGTGTCTTCGAATGGAGCTCTATGGATGTGAGCCAATTGAAGGTATTTAGTAGGCGCAGATTGTTGATTGGAATACATGTGCTGAAATAATCTCTCGTTGGGATTACTTTGTTAATTGTTTTTGTCCCAGTGCGCAACGCCTTGTTAGTAACCACAGGAATCCCGTTTCCTGTTCAATATCAGCATGAGATAATAAGCGGTAATACCTTTTCCTTGACGCAAATGACCTGATTGAACTTTGGGGTGGAATTCCTTGTACTTTTAATAAGGGAAATGACAATAGTACTCACCACAGGTAGCCCAAGCACTGCAATATTTGCCTGTCTTCAAGATGGCACCGGGCAGAGGCCACTATTGTTGACAAGGCGCCATGTTTTTTTCCCATGAGAACAAAACCTTTTTTTAACCCCGCGTAACCGCATCCTGAAGTGCTCGAATGTTAGGCTTCGCGCGTAAAAATCTGTTGTTCCTTTCAACGCGGCTGCCGCGTGAGACAGTTAGAATCCTTCCACGGTTGAGGAGAAAAACCGGGTCAAGTTAGCATTGTAGTGCATCATGGGACTGTTGTAGGGGACGAAATAGACGCCACCTTGGAAATGTCCCTTAAGACGGCCCCACAATGCACTGCAACGCCAACTCGCCCCAGTTTTTTCCTCAGCCTCGGAATGGCTAATTAATCTTTTTTGTGGTAGACTGCGATACGCCTGTTGGTCTGGAGGACGGACGAATCGAGAATAATCAAATATCTGCATCATCACACTGGAATGAACACGTGGCATCCAACGCACGACTCAACAACCGAATGCACACTGATAATAACACTGGTAAAGTAGTGTGGGGAGGTTGGTGCACAGACAAGAAGAATATACATCAGTATCTAGAGGTATTATAGAATAGTATAGTTAACGATATATTGGAAAATAGTGCCGTGAGACAGAAATATCACTTTGGTGCACGTGTCCGCTGGAGAAAGAGAACAAAAGACTTGTCCCTATCACCAGGGTCACCCTATCTTCATGTGTTAATAGCCTCTCATAGGATAGGGTGACTCTACTGCTAGGGGTACCTTATGCCTTTGGTGGCCCCTAGAGAAGGATTGTTTCCGTCGTTTTTGCGCTAAAATATATTAAAGTATCTTAAAATATCCTTGTGGAAACGCACTGTAAGTGCTTTACCGTCTTTTCATAGGTTGATCTTGGTCACGTGCGTGCTGTATCAGGGATAGCAACACAGGGATACCAACTAAACAATTTCGTAAAGCAGTACAAGATGAACTACAGCATCGATGGGCGGGAGTGGAAGTCTTATAAAGCTAACGGCGCTAGTATGGTATGTAAAGCCTATAATATTATAAGCTTAGGCCTTTGTATCACAACAGAGCTACGAATTGAAATTTAGAAGTTGATTTTTGCGAGGGAGGAAAACCGGAGAACCCGTTGGAATGCAGTTCAATATGGGGGACATAACAATAGCTTTCCAATTCTCACGAGATTGAAATTCCTTTGTTTTGACCTCCAAATTGAGCTGATTTGACTTCACGTCCAAGGGGTATATTGCATATCTTTCATGATCTTTTTTTTCTCAGATATTTGCCGCCAACTGGGACAACGAGACGGTGATCAAGAATCCCCTGATACGCATCTTCGCGCGCTTCATCCGTCTCAACCCTGTCTCATGGGATGTGTTTGGTTACGTGTGTATGCGAGTAGAGATTTACGAATGCCTACCGACAAAAGGTAAATAAAACACTTATCTTGAAAGTCAAAGATCGGCAAAGTGACGATTATCTTATTTAGACAGGGCTACAACAGACATTACGCGTGAGTTTAGTAAATAATAATAATATTTATTTACTTAACATTGCGCAGTCTAACTTGCCAATATATGATCGAGTGCGCAATACAAAATACAATCAATATCTATTTACAATATAATAAAATTTCTTTACTATTAAAATAGAAATATTAAAAAAATATCATTAAATGAAAAAAATTAAAGTAATTAAATAGATATGAAATAAATAAATTATAAACGATTTGAAATTCTAATCATAAAACGCTAGTTCTAAAAAAAGTTTGTTCAATATTTTGTTTTCTCGTTTGCCACGAAGGTTTTGTTTCTCTCTTTTTTTTTTTTTCTTTCCTTCCGTAATAATCAAAAAGGTCATTGTTTTCTATTGTTCCACACATGTGTGCCCTCCAATAGGATCACATCTTGCAAATTCGTGAAGGACGACCCAATAATCAGTATAGTGTGTAGTGGTAGTGTGGTAGTGTGTGTGAGTGAAAATGCTTCCTTTTAGCGCAATACACTAAATCTACAGTGCATTAAGGAGCATATTCATGTGAATGGTCCACTAATAATGTGATTATTCATGCTTCAGGGAGTGTGCCCCAGGTCTCTCCGCCTGGCGCCAGCTACAAAGTCAACAGAACGTCGCCGCTAAATGTCACGTGCCTGTTGAGTGGCCAGGAAGGTTTTGATTACACGTGGATGAGGAACGGGATCCCTGTGGTTAACAGTAATACTCAAACCATATATCGCCAAATATTCTCAAACGGGACTACACTCAGCACGCTGAGACTGCAATACATCAAGTACCAGGACAGCGGTTCGGTAATATCATGTACAGCGTGGTACCCAGGACTTGCTATAAACACGTCCAGAAATGTACACGTGTTTGTCAATGGTAAGACATTCTTGAAATAACCCCTAAGATCACTTCCAGGCTGAAGCCACAATCACCACTATCTTTAAAGTAACCGCTATCATGTTTGAAAAAGGAGAAATAAGGAGGTTTCGGCACTGTTACTAGCTGAGTTGAATCGCTTAGTACCAGGAAATTCCAGGAAATCACACCCCCCTTCCCCTCAGATCACGTCCAGATTAAAGTCACAACCATCACTATCTTGAGTGTTACCACTATCCGTTGCCTGTGTATATATTTATGCTTATGTGTTGTTTTTTGTTGCTACTGAAAACAACCTTTATAAAACAACCTGGGGTAGCTTAAAAACAATTTCATCTATCCTGGTGTACTTAGATTAGCACAACTGGATGGTGTTTTAAACGTCCTCAAATAACTCTCGCCTTTAATGTGTTTAGCCCCAAGACCCGTGATCAAGGTATCAGAGCACAAAGCCCGGGCTATCAGTATGGGCATCATAGACCCAGTGCCTCAGGACACTGCAAAATACCTGGTTCGATACAGGATCAAAGACCTGGAAAATGCCCCTTGGTCTACCACGCAGTTCACAAGACCTCGCATCAAGAGTTCATCCATAGCTTACATCACCTTGGACAAACTGATTCCATTTACTACGTACGTCACCGAGATATCGTCTGCTTACAAGGATGGTGACAGTGGACCGTACAGTATACCGGTTACCTTTACAACTCAGGAAGACGGTGAGTACAATGATGGTCAGCGGTTAAACTGCATTTGGGATGCGCATTGCGTAACTCTCTTCAAGGGATCTTAAAAATTTGAATTCACTTTTTCAATGTTTAGGTAAAAGTGATAATGATATAGAGTTTTTGTTTTAACATTTTGTACTTTTTTCTTTGTTAGTTCCAAGCGGTCCACCACGTGACGTTCTAGTCGAGCCAGTCTCCGACGGTCACATTATTGTATCCTGGTCGGTCCCAGGATTCGACCAGCAAAATGGTCGCATTATGAAGTACGAAGTAACGTACAGAAGCAAAACAAAGAAGCCAAAGAGCTTGTTTACACAACAGCTGCAGAAAGATATTATTGGTCTGGAGAAAGATCAACGGTACGAGATAACTGTGCGTGCCTATACTCGAGTAGGGCCAGGTCCGTATAGCAAGTATGTTATATACAGTACTGAAACAGGTAAGACGTCTGATTAAACCTTCAAAAAAATAAAACCTTCAAATTCTATCGATACCCTAAAGAGTTTAAATATGGCAAAAAAAAGTCAGCCGCTATAGCGGGTTGAATAAACCCGTTACAACTGGTTATTACCAAACCCGCTACGACTGGTTCAGCTTCAACCCGTTACAACGGCTTCTGAATATACCAAAAGTACAAGTATTATATTTGGCGATGAGGCTGCTACAACGGGTTGACTAACCCGCTACAGTCGAACCCGCTACGACTGGTTCAGCTTCAACCCGTTACAGCGGCTTCTGAATATACCAAAAGTGAAATTATTATACAATATCGAGAATATGATTACACTATTGAAAATATTACACTAAACAACCTCTAGGCTGATGTAAGTCAGGTCAAGGCTAACTGACAGATTGTTAAGTTCTACATAGGGAGGAAAACGAGAGAACCTGGATAAAAAAACCCTCAGAAATCATTGGAGAGATCTAACAAACTCTACTCGTATTGTATCTTATTTTCTCACTTCAACTTTCTTCTTGTCCCTAGGACTAAAGCCAAAGACCAAAACAACTATGGCTTTAGAAAAGCTTTCAAAGGTAAAAAAACGCTGTTCTATAAAGCTTCAGTATCATATTTATTTCAAATGATTCCTTCCCTTTTGTTCGTTTTCATTGGTTCATTCATCCATTAATGCTTTCTTTTTCTTCATTGATATTCTCCATACATTCATCTTCCATCGTTCATGCATTTATTTTTTCACTTCCTCATTTCTTTCAACTCGTTCAACGCAATTCATTTATTCTGACATGGTGCATTGTGCTCTAGCTTTGCTAGACATACTTTATATGGTGTTGTTTGTACCCCAGCTATACCACAAGGCACCACGCTTATCGAACGGAGAAATGGCTTGGGGGGCGTTGAAACAAAGATATTCAATCTCGTTTTTGTGAGGGGTCTGAATATGCAAATGTGTCACTCACTCACTCACTAAGATGTTAGCAGATCGATAACTAAACGTTTGTCGATCGTCTTACGTCATCCGATCATTCACTTCTTTTCGTCTTTCTTCCCAGGTGACTGTCACAGAATACAACGCGGCTAAAGTGACAGCAACCGTTCAGAACCTGACGTCAAAACAAACCGAGCTTCAGGAACAAGATATCCACATGACGGCTAACATCTTGAACAAAGTCATATCAACCAACAGCAGCTCAGAAAAGGTCGGCGATAACCTGCTAAAGACCCTTAGTAACGTGATGGATGTGGACAGTGAAGTATTGTACAAGACACAAGCTAAATACAACACTTCAGCAACGTGAGTAGCGTGTTGCAATGTTTGCAATGTTCGTATTCGTTTTAACAAATTGACTCTTTTTTAACAAATTGAGTACTTTTAGCTTGGGCGAAATGTTTTCCAATTTCAGACCACGTGTCATACTACCATACTCATGTGCAACCGTTGAACAAATATATTGTGCTCAAGAGAATGACACGTTCTGATGGTATCACGATGTTCACATAGCCATATCTATCTGCTCTCTTATTTTCGCACTGGTTTGGGGCGTTCATTTATTTTTAAGTTAAATTAATTTTTTTTCTTTTTCAGTCTTGTGAAAGTTCTAGAGACGTACATCGAGAAAGGTGGAAGATTCACCGTCGATACAGATAACATCGTCGTTCGCCGTCAACAAATCAAAAACTCCTTCAAGGTCTTGCGCACGAGCGTCACCACTCAAAACAACAAGCTGTATCTCAACAGCACCACTGAAGTCACTTCCGGTTCAGAACCAAAAGGCTCGGATGCTTCGATTATAATACCTTCGTCAGTTTTTCCAAAGGACGAGACGAACAACGAAACCGTTTATTTTGTTTATTACAAGAGCAGTAAGCTGTTCGCGCCGAATTATCAACGGATTGAAGTGTGCCGGGATGGTTTTACGTCGTCAAAACTAGGAAAGACCGAGAGTCGAGGATCCACATATACTGTAGAGAGGGTGGCAAGTAGAGGATTGGTCACTGAAAGCTCTCCCGTTATATCTGCCAGTTTGAAGGGAAGAGAGGTTGCTAACCTAACGGAGCCTGTTATCATCATGTTCAAACTTCCGCCGGAAATGGTGAGAATTCTAACCATAACATTTCCGCCGGAAATTCTTTTCTAATTAGCAACTAAGAGGCGCGTCAAGATTAATGAAATTAAAGATTGCCAAGTACCGGGAAAAAATCAAAAAGAGTTGGTCTTATTGTTTATACTCAGGTTTTTTTTAGTTTTTTTTCAGATCTTCTCTTATTTATTCTTATTCTTATTATTTTACTCTATATGCGCGCGCGTAGAAACAACCTGCTGATCTGGGAAAAGATGTTAGCCAATGAAAATCGAGAAAATTTGCAAAACTTAGGTGTCACTTTTTCTCTTGAAATTTTGGATTTCCAGGCCGCCACATGAAAAAAATAACGAGGCTAGTAAGTTCTTGACAACAGTGACACAATGTTTGATGATTTTGACATTTGACAGACATGTTTTATTATTCGGTGGTCTTTCTTTGTAGGCTTCACCTCAGTTTTGTTGTGACTTTATTTATACGTCACTATTTCAGATCAGCTAGAAGCTTGTAATATACTGACTATCAAATCTTCTATCTTGCACTTTTGGTTGCCATAGCGAAGGAATTACCATGGTAACTTGATATTTAAAACAACTGTGTTGTTCTTTAGATTGAGGCCAATCAAACTAAATGTGTCTGGTGGGATTTCACTGCGAAAAGTAAGGATACCATGATATGGTCTTTGTACATTGATATACTTTATACCTTAGCTTGATCTTGACCTTGTTTTTGTGGTCGGTTTGCAGATGGTCGGGGTGGTTGGTCTACAGAGGGTTGTGAACTTCAAGGCGTCCTCAATGACACGGTCATGTGTGAGTGTAACCACATGACAAATTTTGCTGCTCTGGTGGTGAGTATGATGAATAATCTTCCTTGGTTTATCCATTTGCTAGCATTGTTGAAATAAATACACTTGCCTAATACCCTTTTACCCTGTATCGTTGATTCAACCTCGCGCAACGCTATTGGTTCGACAAGTTTTGTCACCCAACTTTATAAGCATTTCCAGCTAGGTGCATTTGGTCTACAATCTTCTGCAAAAATAATGTGCCACTTTCCCCCCTTTCCCCCTAGCAATGTTGGCCAAGGAAGTTTTCTACACTGTGAAGCGGTTGGCTGGTAAAATGCATGCGAGACAACATTGCTACGGGGGGAGAGGGGGGATGGTTCTCCAAAATACTAGGTGGCACATTTTATTTTGAAGAAGATTGTAGCTTGGGTACAGGGGTGGCCGCATCTTGTTGATCATGCCTTATATATGGTGTTGTTTTACTACACAAGCTACGCCACAATGCATCATGTTTATCCAACTCAGAAAAGGCTTATTCCTGCATCTTGATTGGATGTTCAGGAATTTTGCACTCTATGACCGTGGCATGTACTAAGACGATTCATAGTACAGTCATAATACGAAATCTCTATCTGTATTGAAACCTACTAATCCTTCCCATTTCTGGTATTCCAGGACGTGTATGGCCCATCATCCAAGCCATGTGGTGTTCACGAAATTGCTCTGTCAATGATTGCTTATATTGGTTGTGGATTATCCATACTTGGCCTTTGTCTTACTATCCTTACTTATGGCTTCTGTGCGTAAGTATTTGTATTCCATGCATGGTTGTAATTTATTTTAGGGCTTCTTGTACTGTGGGTGGTATTTCAATGCACAGATAGTTAGGTTGGCTAGTATACCTTTGTCACACGGCAGCCATGTTGGCTGGAAGAATAGATTTTGTCCGGCTAGCCTTCAAGCACTTCAGGGTTAGTTTGAAAGGAGAGAAACAGCTGCGTGACCAAGGTCGATATTGATAACTGACTATTTTTAGATTAGATTCTTATAAGTTGTAAGTGGTATCCATTAATTAAGTGAATGCAGTACTTAAGGGTGAAATATCTATTTATTTTTATTAGTTTTCTAATTATTATTTGTTACTATTTTACTTCGATTTTTAGGACATCATTTTTGTTTGTTTGTTTGTTATCGTTTTTTGTTGGTTTCTTTTTTTTTTTTTTTTTTTTTTTT